ATGGAGTAGGGAAATATTTGGTGATATCTTCAAGCAATTGACTATTTTGGAGGACATTGTTATGGTAAAAGAGATGTTGTTTGAAGAAGAGCCTTCAATTGAAAACAGGATTGTGCTTCAAAAGGCACAATCTGAATTGAAGAAATACTTGAGTATTGAGGAGTAGTATTGGAAGCAAAAAGCTGGGATGACTTGGTTTGCTGAAGGAGATAGGAATACAAGTTTCTTTCACAATCATGTCAATGGCAAAAGAAAGAAATTACAACTGAAGAGGATCAAAAGTGGAAGTGGGGTATGGATTGAAGACCAGGAGCAATTGGCTACAGCTGCAGTGGACTTTTATCAAGAATAGTTCACAAATGAAGGTGATGCATCTGACTTTTCCTTGCTCAATAATGTACCTTCGATGGTCATTATGGAACAGAATTTGGAACTTAGTAGATTGCCAATAATTGAAGAGGTAAGGACAGCAGTTTTTGAGCTTAGTGGGGAGAGTGCTAGTGGTCCAGATGGATTCACTGGCCTATTTTATCAAACATGCTAGGATGTTATTGGTGCGGGTATACACAACATGGTGCTACACTTCTATGGAGGAGCTACACTGCCTAAATCCATCACTTACACCAATCTAGTGTTGCTGCCTAAGAAACCTAGAGTTGAGACCTTTTCTGACTTAAGACCTATTAGCTTGAGCAACTTCATTAACAAGGTCTTGTCTAGAGTGTTATATGATAGATTGGAAATTTTTTTGCCTTCTCTAATATCTCCATCAATCCGGATTTGTGAAGGGTAGGAGTATATTTGAGAACATCTTATTGACTCAAGAAATTGTCACTGACATAAGGTTAAGGGGAAAGCCAGCTAATGTGGTGATCAAGCTTGATATGGCTAAGGCTTATGATAGGGTTTCATGGAACTACTTATTACATGTACTAAGGAAGATGGGATTTTCTGAGCACTTCATCAACATGGTGTAGAATGTCAAATAACTGGTATTCAGTATTGGTGAATGGGCAGTCATCAGGGTTCTTTAAGTCTACAAGGGGTGTGAAGCAAGGGGATCCTCTATCACTAGCATTGTTCATTCTGTCAGCTGAGGTACTTTCTAGATCTTTGAATAAGCTATTTGAAGATAGGTCATTTGTGGGATTTGGAATGCCTAAGTGGTCTGATCCTTTAAACCACTTGGCATATGCTGATGACATTATAATCATTGATTCTGCTCATCCTTCATCCTTGAGCAAGATTATGGCAGTGTTGGGGAACTATGAGAAGATATCAGGCCAGATGATCAACAAAGATAAGAGTTCATACTACATGTATTCAAGGATTTCTAATGGATTGTGTCAGGTGGTTGGAGCTATTACAGGATTTGCAAAAGGTAAATTCCCCTTCACATATCTAGGGTGTCCTGTTTTCTACACTAGAAGGAGGAAGGAATATTATGAAGATCTTATCAAGAAAGTAAAGGCTAAATTGCATTCATGGAAAGGAAAGCTACTGTCATTTGGAGGAAAGGCAACACTCATTACTAGTGTGTTGCAAAACATGCCACTCCACATGTTATCAGTCCTGCATCCACCAAAAAATGTCCCGGAGCATCTTCATAAGATTTTTGCCAGATTCTTTTGGAGCACAAAGGAAGAAGGGAGAAGCAGACATTGGGCCTCATGGAAAAACCTTTGCCTTCCTAAAGAGGAAGGGGGCCTAGGTTTTAGGTCCTTACATGATGTGTCGAGGGAATTGTTTGCTAAGCTATGGTGGAGGTTTAGGACCACAAAATCTTTGTGGTCTAATTTCATGTGGAATAAGTATTGCAAGAAGGAGATACCAACGGTGGTGCAGTTTAGAAGGGGGTCTAATGTTTGGAGAAAAATGCTGAATGCTAGGGAAGAAGTAGAACATGAGATCCTATGGGAATTGAAGAGTGGAACAACTAATATTTGGCATGAAAATTGGACTGGATTGGGTGCACTTTATCATGTATTACCTGAAGACTTTCCAATCAATGAAGATCTCCAGGATGTGGCAGAATTACGGCAAGGTGAAACATGAGATGATCAGCTGCTAGATCAAACCTTCAATGAGGAAATTGCAGAACATATAAGGCTAAATGTACATTATGAAGGCAGTGAGGGATACTGGGATAGGCCATACTGGATGCCAACTCCTTCAGGCAAGTTCAGTGTTAGTAGTGCTTCACAAATATTAAGGCATAGAGCTGATCCTAATCAGGAATTCAAGTTAATGTGGATTAAAGGCTTACCATTTAAGACATCCTTCTTCTTGTGGAGGAAGAAAATAGCCACTGATGACATATGGAGGAGGCAAGGGCAGATGGTGACGTCTAGGTGTTGGTGTTGTCAGCAGCCCCAAGAGGAATCTATTGATTATCACAAGTCTTACTGCCTCTAAAGTATGGAACTTGTTCATGGGGGCTGCTGGAATTACTGTGCCATTGATTCAATTGAAGCAGGTTATAAGGCATTGGTGATATGCTCAATGTTGTCCAAAGCTAAAGCCATTGTTTCAAGCAGTACCGACTATCATCACTTGGGAACTTTGGAAGAGAAGAAATGCAGGTAAACATGGGGGTTCAGTGTCGACAAATAGGGTGATTCATGAGATCAATAGGACATTGCATCAACTGGCAAGGGTGAGTATGCTTGGATGCCTAATATTCCATTGGTATGGCCAGACATAATTTAATATTTTGAAGGATATAAACCTATATTGATCACTACAAGAGTAACATGGCAGCTTCCTTTTCATGGTTGGTACAAATGCAATACTGATGGAGCCTCAAAAGGAAATCCTGGTCCTAGCTCATTAGGCTTTTGTGTGAGGAATGATGAAGGTGATGTGGTGTATGCAAGGGCAGTAGACCTGGGAGTGACAACTAATATGGTGGCTGAAGCTAAGGCTATTCTTCAAGGATTGGAATACTGTGTGGAGCATGATCTTCACCCTCTCATATTAGAGACTGATTCATTAGTGATGAAGAAAGTGATAGAAGGGGAATGGGATCCTCCTTGGGTAATAGCAAATGATGTGAAGAAAATTAGAGAGATGAAGGGCAACTTCAATGTGATCTTTCAACATGTGTTCAGAGAAGGCAACTCAGTGGCAGATTTTATAGCTAACATTGTTTTCTCTTTTGCAGGTACATCTGAGTTTCACTCATTCTCTGAACTGCCTAGTGCAGGGAGGAGGTTGATTAATTTAGACAAGTCTCAAACTCCTAACCTTAGGGTTAGAATAGCAAAAAGAAGAGCCCCAGACTGATGGCTTCACAGGATTGGAATCTGCACATACCTGCTTGTTTCTTTTATGTCTCATTCTGTATGATATTAAGGTACATTCCAGTGGTATTAGCATGGTCACATGCTCATTCTGGGGGTGCTTTGATAGTGTACAGGACCAATGTGATAAGTAGGTATTGGATGGTGCAATTTATTCTACTTCTGATATGTCCAAATGTTAAGAAAAAGGTTGAATCTGTTATGTGGAATTTCTGGAGATTATTGAATCATTTCTCAGTGGTATTAGCATGTCTTCATGCTCAATCTGAGGATGGTTTAGCAATGTTTAGAATGATTTCTACATTAAAGGTAGGTTCGGGAAGAGAAGGATCTGAGCTTACAAAAACATAAAATCACCCAGCTCCACAAACCTGGCGGGGCCAGGCTAAAGCCTGATGATACCCTGGCGTTACCCTGGCGTCGCCAGCTTAAAGCCAGCCCTGGCCTGGCTTTTGCCTTGCAAAGCCTGCTTAAAGCCAGCCCCAGTCAGGATTTTGCCTTGCAAAGCCTGCCTAAAGCCAGCCCCAGCCTGGCTTTTGCCTTGCAAAGCCTGCTTAAAGCCAGCCCCAACCTGGCTTTTGCCTTGAAAAGCCTGCTTAAAGCCAGCCCCAGCCTGGCTTTTGCCTTGAAAAGCCTGCCTAAAGCGAGCCTCAAGACAGGTGTAGCCATGCTTTTTTACATAATAATATTGAGGATCGACCACATGATTTATACTTGGATAGAGTCAGTACACTGCATATGGAGATCATATTGTAGCAACACTAATAATTGGAAGACTATGCTGGCCTCAATTCTGTGGTGGAGATGTTTGGAATTCATTCTAGCCTATGGACTGGATACACTGGCGCCTGGTGAGAGCTTGATAGGTGCTGCTTGGTATTTGCCACTGGCAATTGGATTCACATACACTGACAGGAGAAGGAAGCATTCAGCGGACAATGTTGTAATAATTAGTTCATTAGACTTTAGCTTTCCTATCTTTTTAGTAGCTAGTAGCTTCATGCAACTTCTATTTTGGTTTGGACATCTTGTAAGCTTTGGACCCATTTTGGGATTTTATTTATATAATAGCCAGTAGGTAGCCTGCCTAGTGGTATATTTGCTAAAAATAAAATTAAAAATAAAAAATTCCAACATAATAATAGTAAGTTCCATTACAACTTAAGATTAGGAAACATAATAAGTTTATAACCACATTCAACAACGAAATTCCACTTTAGTTCCATCACTCATTATGTGCCAAGTTTGTTAATGACTCATTATTTCTAATATTAGGAGCTGTAGTTTTAAAATATAGAATAATAAAATAAATAAATAATAAAATATAAGCAATTACATGAAATCACAAGAAGTAAAGGTAGAAAAATAAAAAATAAATAATGTACAAAGAAAAATATATTTTAAAATTTAAAAAAAAATAAAAAGTAAAAATAAAATTAAAAAATTAAAATAATAGAAATAAAAAGTTATAAAAATAAATTAAAATAAAAATAAAAAGGAAAGAAACTAAAAAACAATTTTGTAATTACACAATGTAATTACCACCAATTCTCACCTCCTCTTGAGAACTGGAGAGTGTAATTACACCTAATTCCATGTTGATCAAGTAATTACTTGGCCAAACAAACATGTCAATCTGTATAATTACACCTAAATCCAAATCCAATTTGTAGGTGACTTAAACCCTCAGACTTCCAATCGAATACATACAGTCAAAACAGAAGCGACAACATAATAAGCAATCATTGAACAAACAGAGTTGTCTCTCCATCTCTTTCTTCCGATATAACCAAAACCCCAGCTATGACTTCCTATCCAGCTCCCATAAACCCGACCCAGACCCGCATAGGATGGATAGGCACAGGCGTAATGGGTGGCGCCATGGCGTCTCGCCTTCTCTCCGCTGGCTATTCCGTCACAATCTACGCCCGTAATCCTTCTAAAGTTGTTCATCTTCAATCCCAAGGTGCCCATCTTGCTGATTCCCCAGCTGATCTTGCATCTAATAGCGATGTTATTTTCACTATGTTGGGTCACCCATCAGATGTTCGACAAATTGTCTTAGAGGATTTGATATCTTCCGTCAACCCCAATTGCGTCATTATTGATCACACCAGCAGCCACCCAGTACTTGCTAAGCAAATCTTTGATGCTGCCCGTGAGAAGAATTGCTGGACTATTGACGCTCCTGTATCTGGAGGAGATATTGGGGCGAGAGAAGGGAAATTGGCAATTTTTGCTGGTGGAAATGTGGTTGTGGTGAAGTGGTTAAAGCCTTTGTTTGATGTGTTGGGAAAGGTGACTTTTGTAGGTGGACCAGGAAAGGGACAAAGCTGTAAAATTGCGAATCAAATCGTCGTTGGGGGGAACTTGCTCGGGTTGAGTGAAGGATTGGTGTTTGCGGACAAGGCAGGGTTGGATAAGATGAAGTTTGTGGAGGCAATTAAAGGAGGAGCAGCTGGGTCTAAGGTTATGGAGTTGTTTGGAGAAAGAATGATTGGGAGAGACTTTAGGCCTGGTGGGTTTACAGAGTACATGGTCAAGGACTTGGGAATGGGTTTGGATGTTGGAGCGGAGCAGGGTGACGATGTTGTGGTGTTGCCTGGTGCTGCATTGTCTAAGCAGCTGTTTTCTGCTATGGTTGCTAATGGAGATGGGAAGCTTGGTACTCAAGGACTTATCACTGTTATAGAGAGGATCAATGGCAAGTGAGATCTTGAAATATTCTTGTGCCAATGTTCATATTGACTTGGGCATCTTTGCCTCTGTCAGTTGCTGAAGTGGCAGCTATATTGGTGAGTTTGGATTCGCTGTCCCTTATTGAAGATGGTAAACTTAAGAGTACTTTGTTTGACAAAACTGTGCTTATATTGGCATTACTTACAACTGTTTGCTATATACACCAGAAGAAACATATGGGTTAGTCATTTCGGGTCATTATTCTTGATAATTGATGGGTTTAGGCTAATAAGTGACAATGTTCCATTTTAGTGGTGCCTACACTAGTCAGTTAATTTACGCTCTAAATTTTAAGTTCATGCTTAAACCGCACCTTTCTGTTTGCAGTGATGCTATCATTTGTACATTAAAAAATAATCTCACTGACAGTCTGGCAAGTTTGGTAATCTCAATTTGGACTTCCCATTCTCTGATGAACTGTAGAGTTTTATCCACTGCAACAACCAAATAGTGTATTGTGTAATGCTGAATTCTGTGCAATTATAAAAAAGTAACTAAACACTGCATTGGTAATGTTGGATTTTATACAATATTGTAATTCCTTATATATGTAACCAGGGGGCACTTAATATGATGAGATCTAAAAGATCTAGATCCAGACTGAATTAAATAAACACAAACAAAACAGAGTAGCCCCACCTAATAACATTAGTTTATTCTTAAGAGCACAGTAGTACTTAAAACTATTTCTTTTATAACCGTGGTATCGGGGCCAGCTTGCGCGTACCTCAATTAATTCTACGAGATACCTACTACCTCACACCAGCAACATGTACTAGGTAACTCTATCCACCAAGACTTGGACAGATTGGACGACAGATGGTTTGGACATGAGACCCTCAGAGTTCTAAACTCACTTCATTGACCACTAGGCTACACCCTTGAGTTCTAGGGTACTATTTAAACCTTGTCACTTCCAATCGGATTTAAGGGACAAATTAATAACCAATCTATGAACAAATAGACTTGAGTCTCTGCACTCTGCAGGCTGCAGCTCTTTCTTCCCATAAATCAAAACCCTGAAGATGACTTCCTACCCAGCTCCCATAAAACCGACCCACACTCGCATAGGATGGATAGGCACAGGAATAATGGGTGGTGCCATAGCATCTCGCCTTCTCTCCGCTGGCTATTCTGTCACAGTCTACGCCCGCAATCCTTCTAAAGTTGTTTGTCTCAAATCCCAAGGTGCACATCTTGCTGATTCCCCAGCTGATGTTGCACGTAATACTGATGTCATTTTCACTATGTTGGGTCACCCATCAGATGTTCGACAAATTGTCTTAGAGGGCTTGCTCTCTTCTGTCAACCCCAATAGCGTCATTATAGATCACACCAGCAGCCACCCAGTTCTTGCCAAGCAAATCTTTGAAGCTGCTCGTGAGAAGAATTGCTGGACTGTTGATGCTCCGGTGTCTGGAGCAGACATTGGGGCGAGAGAAGGGAAACTGGCAATTTTTGCCGGTGGAAATGAGGATGTGGTGAAGTGGTTAAAGCCTTTGTTTGATGTGTTGGGAAAGGCGACTTTTGTGGGTGGGCCAGGAAAGGGGCAAAGCTGTAAAATTGCGAATCAGATTGTCGCAGGGGGGAGCTTGCTGGGGTTGAGTGAAGGATTGGTGTTTGTGGAGAAGGCAGGGTTGGATAATAGGAAGTTTGTGGAGGCAGTGAAGGGAGTGAAGGGAGGAGCAGCTGGGTCTATGATTATGGAGTTGTTTGGAGAAAGAATGATTGAGAGAGATTTTAGGCCCGGTGGGTTCACCGAGTATATAGTCAAGGACTTGGGAATGGGTTTCGATGTTGGAGCGGAGGAGGGTGATAATATTGTGCCGTTGCCTGGTGCTGCATTGTCCAAGCAGCTTTTTTCTGCTATGGTAGCTAATGGAGATGGGAAGCTTGGTATTCAAGGGCTTATTACTGTTATAGAGAGGATCAGGCAAGTGAGATCTTGAAATTTTCTTGTGCCAATGGTCTTATTGACTTGGGCATTTTTAACTGCAATCAGTTGCAGAAGTGGCAGCTATATCAGTGAGTTTAGCTTTGGCTATTTGAATCTGTCCCTCATTGAAGATATAAAATTGAAGAATACCTCGTGCATAGCGGGAGCTTAGTGCACCGGGCTGTCCTTTTCTTTATCACTATTTGTTTGACAAAACTGTGCTGGTATTGACCTTAACCTTACAACCTTTTGTTGTACTCACCAGAATTGGGCCACTATTTATTTACAATTGATAGCTTGAGGCTGATAACCTTCCATTTTAATGGTGCCTATACTATTCAGTTATATGCTGTACTAACTTTTCAGTTCATGCTTAAACTGCACCATGCTATTTGAGATGATGGTATCATTTCTGATATATAATGCCACTAGCAGTGTGGCAAGTTTGGTAATCTCAATTTGGATTTTCAGACCCGGCTAACAGTACTTATGTGGTATACCTGTTGTAAATGTTGACATTAGCCTCAGTTTCAGCCTGAGAAACAATGTTACCTTCCCGAAACTCAACCGCGGTTGCAGGTATGACAGTTCCAGAAGATTCTAAGTAACTCATCATACCTAGCTTTGTTCCCATGACACCAATTCCGGCTTCCATGGAAGAGGATTTTATTAATGAGAGGGATTTTGAGGTTATCTGAGAGTTGGATATGGGAATGGGAGGCAGAGGAGGAATGTAGAGTGGAGGTTGTTGTTGACGGTGGTGGTGGGAAGGGTTTTTGCGGCGGAGGGCCGAGGGTGGTGGTTTGAATTGTGGAGAAAGAAGAGAGACATGGTTAAAAGAGAATTCGGAAGAGTGGAAATGGAAAACAGGAGCTTTGATTTATAGTTTCTCTTATCTGTTAAAGGAGAAGAAGATGAGTGAGAGGAGATTGAGTTTTGGTCTTATGATGTTAGGATAAATCCTGTTGTTGAGAGTTTTTGCAGAATAATGTAAGCGTTTGGATTAAAAACTTGAGTTGAAATTGAGAAAAATAGTATTTTGATATTACACTTGGAAAAAGAAAAGCTTATGAAGATTGAGTTGTGTTTGACATGAATTTCAATTTTAAAAAAAAGTTTGCGAAAATTAAAATCTGTTAGTGAAAATCAATGTGGAACACTTGAAATGCACTTTCACTAAAGTTCAGGTGTTGCATTTCACTATTTTACCATTACAAAGATAATACTCGCCCAAAAGGGCTCATTCTCCATTGTTTGGTTACTGGATAATGATTATGCGAAGGAAAAAAATCACTAAAAAGGTGAAAACGACATTCTTCATGTATAAACTTCAACTCCACATAATCTGCTTCAACAAAATATTTTTCATCATATTAAACATAGGATGTGCTTGATCTCATGTTCAATGCAAGCAATGGTCAAGTCTCTTGCTCCTTGCCAAAAGTGACAAATATGTCCAAGGGGAGACGTCTTCCTCTTAACCAATTACAAAAGATTGAGCACAATTAAATTAAATAAAAAGGACAAAAAAGAGATGCAAGACGTTAAGCTTGAGGGCTTACATGTCCTTTAGTAAACTTAGAGGGTTGAATCAGCAAAAATAAAGGGAGATTTGCTATTTCATAGTAAGACAAATCAGAATGAAGAAACAATTCTCACCCTTCCGTGAGCTTTTCATAATTTAGTTTTTCGAACTTGGAAAATGCTCGATCAGTTGCCGTTAATAATCGATGTAAAATTATATGATGCTTTCTTCTGCTCTTCAATATCTCTACTTTTGAATCAAGGAAAACTAGAAAAACAACCTTATTAGGGTATACATCATCTTGCATCCCATCTACAAGGAACTCGTTCCGATATCTGCCTGGCTGGTAATAAGCTGGTAAAACAAAAAAAGGCTCATTCAAAATAAAATTTAAGATGGTAGTGACAAGCGATTGAATGTAAGCTTAATAGTCACTTACCCTATTTCTGAGCTCCATTCCATCAGGAATAACTATTTTCATGCCTGGTCTTGCAGCAATACTGACTTTCCCCTAAATTCAAAAATAAAAAGGATCAGGAAGAATTATCAGAAAGCATTTAAAAGAAAACAGACGCCTGATAGTTGTTGAGATATATTAAAATAAATGATTCCTGAATAGATTGCTTACAAACAGAAGCTGAATCAAAGTAGAGCATGTCAACACGACAAAGGTCTTTATTCAAAAAAAGGAAGAAATAAAGCAAAGCAAAAAAAAATAAGAGAAAGGTATCTATTCAAAAATAACAACAATAAACTCAGTGTAATCCCACATGTGAGGTATGGGGAGGGTAGTGTGTACGCAGACCTTACCCCTACCTTGAGAAGGTAGAGAGGCTATTTCCGATAGACCCTCGGCTCAAGGAAAGACCAAAAGAAAAAGAAAAAAGAAAAGTAAGAACAATACAAAAAATAACAAAAAGTAAGATAGGGAGTACAATCCTGATGAGATTAATGCTTGTACATTTCTTACCTTGAGAGTTATGCCAGTTCCGAACCAAACATCCCCAGTCACCTTCAAGCTATCAAGTTCTATAATGCTTGGAATTGACTTGAAACGACTATGAAAATCATTAACCTGATCAACAATTTATTTATGTTAAATATATGAAATAAATTGATAAAAGAATGTTGTAAAGATAAGAGGAACATATTTACATTTCCAAACTCGGGTCCTAATTCAATAGAAGGATCCTTGGGATTTGCTCTTGCTGCATTTCTCACCAACGTGCCTTCAGCTGACGTGTAAAGATCTGACTGCAGAATATAATTATGAAGCGAAAGTTAGTAGATCTAGAGTCTAATATCGTGGGTAGAAAGTCCAGTTAACAAAATCATCCCTTCAACCTGCAAAATGAGCAAATCTGATGTTCTTTCAACTGGAAGATATCTTGACGATGGACTGTCAATAGCAAATGCTCGATCGAAAAACTGGAACACATGAGAAGGTAAGGTGGCATAGAACATTAGAAAGAGCAACACAAAAACAAAGATTGGACAAGCTTTGATGTATATGTGTAACAATGTATTTCTACTTGAAGGTGTTATTGCTTCAGGAACATATCCTTTTGACTTTTGGATAGTAATACCTTTGAACTGGTAAAACCCAGATCACTTCTCTGTAGTAACCTCTCAACGCAGCTCATACTCATCCACCTGAAAAGAAAAACTGAGTCAAAAACTTTTGGTTCCTTTATCTTTTCCACAATGAAAGGAAAAAAAAATAAACCACTTACATTGTATTGATTGATTTGACACTCTCCTTTGACTTTGAGCCACCAACAATGAAAAACAAAAAACCAAAAATAAGATTTGTCATACAACGCGAATCATTGCAACTCTACTACACTGCAGTAACAGTTCACATAAATAAATTTACAGGGTCAGTTGGGCGCAGGGATGGAGGCAACTGCTGAGCCCCACATACTGCTTTCTTGCGTTTTCTCAAAGCTTTAGAAACCGTGGTGGGGTTATTTATAACAGCTAACTTGGTGACTTGGTTCAGGTCAAGTATAAAACTCGGACCTCTTGTGAAATTAAACTTTGTCCGAACAGGGAAACTATCAAACAACACACTGAAAATTCAGACCATGACCAACCTGAATCCTCGCTTCCTGAGGCGGAAGACCCCTCTCTTCCGTTCCTGAGGTGGTAGGCATCACCTGAAATATTGAAAATTATATGCAGCAGCAAGCAGGTACGAAAAAGAGCTGAAATTAGCAGCTGTTTGGTGATACCTCGACGCAATGTTCTACGCTGTTCTTAATCAAATGACTCAGGATTTCTGAATAAACAAATCAAGGAGCTGCCCGAAACAATATCACTCAGAAGATAAAAGATTCCAATCACCTCATGAAGAAAAATAATAAACAAATTATAAAACCAGCACAAGGATACTTGGGTCAACAACTTCAGCAAGGTTATCTGACTGCAGCAGAAGGAAATACTCCTTACCCTGTAAAACACATTGAAGTATGTTTTCCTTATTCACGTCCCAGTCAAATAGCTTCACATAATTGAGAAATATATTTATATGTATATCTGCTGCGCATACATGCCCATCAAAAGTCAAGAGAATCCATGCAATTACATGAAAGAATGTTCTAGATGCGTTCTATGTGTTTAGATCAATAGCATTGAATACTCTTCCTAATTCTATCATAGTTATGAATCTCATTTTTAGGTGATAATCCTCATTAAATATAACTCATTTCTCATGTAATAGGAATTTTCCTAGTTTAATGTAGGCTAAACTACTATATAAAGGATGTTCTAGATTCGTTCTATGTGTTTAGATCAATAGCATTGAATACTCTTCCTAACTCTATCATAGCTATGAATCTCAATTTTAGGTGATAATCCTCATTTAATATAACTCATTTTTCATGTAATAGGAATTTTCCTAGTTTAATGTAGGCTAAACTACTATATAAAGGAGTCCTCTTTTAGGTTTGTTACCCAATTCAATAAGAAGCCTCGTCTGGTATCAGTGCTTCTACAACCTTCTGAAGACTAAAGTAGCTTAAGCCGCCGGCTTAAACAAAAAAATTCCTTCTTTCATAAGTTTATTTTTATTGCATCTTTCCACTGAAGTCTGGTTGTAACACGCTACTTTTCGGTGATTATTGTGGCGACATCATCGCTGTCGACCACTATTCCAACCTTTTTTCAGGGCAAATTTTCAAGCAAACATTCCTTGAAACTTTTTCTTCTCTTGTTTTCTTCTTGGTATCAGAATTAGAGGTATTAAGTCCTTCAGCTGAACATTGAATTTTAGTTGTGGTTCCGACAACTTTTTTGGTTACCTTTTAGCTGTTCAGTTCAAGCTATGCCGATGGTGTGGTACATATTAGCATCTCTCTGCTTCTCCTTAATCGCAGAAAAAAATTCCTCTTCCTGTCTGCTATAGAGAGCACTTTCTCCCACTATACAATATCCAGTGATTTTTCCAGGAAATAATTCCAGCACCATTTTCCTTTACGCGGATTATTCATTATTTCAGAGACACTATTCACGTGACTAGTTTACTATAGCTTGACTTACAGTATTTCTTGTTTTCAAAATTGGCAAACTCAAGTTGATTCACCACCTTGAGTATGATAGGGCATATTATAAGAGAATAAATGCAATTAAATGTTTAAACTATCAAGATTTATTCTATGTATTTAGGTATCTCACTGTGTAGGTAATTTTCTTTTTTTTTTTTTTTTACTAACAACAACAACATACCCAATGTGTTCCCACAAGTGGGGTTTGGGGAGGGAAATTTCCTTTTCTACTAACCCTCTTTATTTCATATAGTATGAATTTTCCTTATTTCCGTGTACCATAATATCCTATATAAGGGTGCTCTTTTATGTTGATAACATCTCAATTCAATCAGAAATTTTCTCTTCTCACAGTATGCACGTTATCTGTGTGCGTGTGTATAGGAAAAGCACATAAAATAGTACTTTCTAATGGACCTGCTAAAGTCTTAGTTTTGATAACAATAAAACTGAACACCATACACATCTCTACCTGAGAAATTAGTGGTTCAAGTTTTCCACTGCTGTTCAAAGAAAGGAAAACCTCCAGCAGGTTGGAAGGATATCTACCATGTCAAAAAGGCATTAGGTGAGAAAAAGAAATTAGCTGAAACCAATATAGTTCAAGATCTAAACAAGCAATGAGCTTCATGGCAATCATTAAAAGGTTTAATGGTCATCAGAAAAGGAAATTAATTGCTTCAGTGAAAAGGAAAAAAAGTGCCAATTACATACAAGTAGTGCAAAACCAGTGCACCGTAACGTTTATATGAAATACTCTTGAAATGCCTTAAGAAACTGAGGACATCATAATAGTCTTTTTTTCTTTTTCCTTTTTCTCAACTTCTTTTCTATCAGAGAAAGGTTCAATTTCCCTTCTTTTTTTTTTCCAACTTCTTCTACCCTTGAATTACACCACAGAATTCCTAGTGTAAGAATGACACATTTGAATCATAATTTGGAATGCTAATATGTACAAGCAGATAGAGATACCAAGGGGGAGAAAAAGAGACGGGGGGAAACATACAGTTCGTCATGAGTTCTTGATTTATCAAGGGTCCGTGACCCTGGCATATCTTCAATATTTTCTTGTTGATGTTGGCTCTACAAATCCATGATAAGAGCTTTTTACTTCACAAAAAACAAAAGAATGGAAAAAAGAAAAGACAGAAAACACATCACATGTCAGAATATTTTAAACAACAAACCTGAATGAAAGTGTGGATATTTTTATTCGGGTGCTTCTCCAACACCTAATTTAACCAATCGGCTGATTAGTTTCCAGAAAAATCTCATTAAAGAACTCAGAGTACAGGTGATATAAGATCAGTCACCTTCAGGATGCCATCGTGTGTACTAGGAGTATTCATCATAAGCAATGGAATATTGCAACCATATTTCGAGTTGATGGACTGAAAACATATATAGAGCCAGTTATCCAAAAATTATTCATTTCAAATTGGTGATAACCTATAACAATGATTTGCATAAAAAAATGGGAAATACACTCCAGAAGGGCCAGTAAATGACCTACCTCAATATGATTGACGACCAAATCCAGACAAGTAAATCCATGGCATACTTCAAGTGCAGATCTGCATATCAAAGCAACAGTAAATAAATAAAGATAAAATCAAGACTAGGATAATTTATCAAAAGCAAACAAATTTAATTTGTAATTTCACTGCATTTACATGGGTCCTTTATTTATTCTTCCAGAACACAACCATTTTTGTGATTGAACATTGAATTCACTAGATAAAAAAGGTACGTTTTTTCTAATACAGTAAAATCTTCAAATCAGTACAGGTCATGAGTGAGAGCTCTCTTAATAGTAAAAAAAACTTTCCGTGGATGAAGATAAACAGGTGAAGGTCTTCCACCCACCTTAACTTGTATTTTCTTCTTTTCTTCTAACTTAAAAGGCAAAAAGTCAAATACAATGACTCCAAAAGTCAACAAGGAATGCATGACTTATGGAGATATTATAAAATGAAGATTAGAATAACAAGGTGTATATGGCGAACAATATATGTAAAGATATAACAAAATTTTCAGATAATCCGCAGTCCATAATTCATATCCTTAGACAGAGTGCTATGGCATTAGCATATAAAATTTCTAGAACTGGAACATTAGACTACTCTATAGAACAAGATTGAGAATCAAAAAAGAAAGCCTTAAATGTTTTTACCAGGAGTTAATTGCAGATAAAAATCTTAAAGCTGTAGAAGGGATTCTTCACTCTAATTACTAGTACAATGACTGCACTTTCCTATAGATTGTAATCACTTAGGAATAATAAAAGGAGGAAAAGAGAACTTCTGAACATCAAACACAGTAAGAGAGGGAAATCCCCCAGGCGTTTATTGGGAAATGAGATCAAAATTAAAGTTAACTGTCATTTTTACACAAGTGGAACATTTTATATGCACAAAAGTAGTCACATCCAAATGGAAAGGAAGTTTTTGCTATCTACGTGGTACAACATTTTCACTTTCTCCTGTAGAAATAACTCTGGAGGAGATGTAAAATAAACAGGCTAAGTTCTTACTTCCTTTTCTCACCAGGAAAATATAAATTGCAGAATTTATGAAAGTTTAACGGGCATGAAGCACCTCCAGAGTGGAAAGGAAGTTAGTATCTGTAAACATAATAAAACAGAAGCTCTAGGTGGTGCAAGTGTGCCTAAAGCCCTCATACCATAGAATTAAAGAAGGCACTTAAATCAAAGAAGAGAAATAGAAGACTTTCTATTTGGACAGAACATGTATATTACAAAGTTTCAACTCTCAGGGGTTGGCCTGGTGGCAATAGACTTGAGCCTTGGGGTTTGCTCCCTTTCAAGGTCTCAAGTTCGAAACCCACTGGGTGCAAACAATTTCTGAGGGCCATCGGACTGGGTAAAACCTGAATTAACCGTGGTGCACTTGCGGGAAACTCCTTGCCGAGGGCCTGTGCACCCCCGGGATTAGCCGGGGCTCTTAGAGACTCGGACACCCGGTGCAAATAAAAAAAAAAATGTATATTACGAAGTTTCAGCTTTAAGTAAATAAAAATAATGTTAGAGCCACTAATCTTTTGGAATGTACTAATCAATCAGTATATCTCAACTCTCAACTGATTGCTTACTTTGGTCCACTGAAACCCATATCTGATCCCAAATTACTATTGAACTTTAACACAACAAGTTTGTCCAGTAGCTGCTTAATCTCTGTAAGATCTGCAGAAATAGGAGACCAAGTGACTGATATATCATTCAGATACATAAATAAAGCATGATTGAGTTGACTTAATGCCTACATCCCTTAAAACCATAAGTATTTGTAAGAAGAAAAAATAATCAATGATATTTTTTTTTTTTGATAAGAATCAACAAGATTATAAGATCACATATTTACCCTCAGAAGCAGGTTCTAATCTTTCATAAGGCAGAACGTAAATTTTATCCTTGCTAGCCATCTTGATCTTGTCAAGTTGTTCAGCTTCCTCTCTGAATCCATATTGCATTCAGGGATAAAAAATTCAATAAAACAGCGAATTAAAACTTGAACACTGCCAGAAACTAATAAAGTTAGAAGCACTCAAACATACAAAATTACAACTCTCTACCTATATCTAAATACCAAAACTGTTTCAAATACTTCAACTGTACACGTGTAGCAGTTCCTTTAGCTAGTGAACAGGAAGATATCATCGTTAGACGAAATTGAATCATCAAAACAGTAACTTTAAGATACATAAGTGGTTTTCAAATTAAGTAAGCTGATAACAAACTAATCATCTCTTGTTGCATTGCAGGTTGGCTGGATAACTATGGACGGGTCCGTTGCATTCTCAACAACAACAACAACAACAACCCAGTAAAATCCCACGGATGCGGGGCCTGGGGAGGGTAGTGTGTACGCAGACCTTACCCCTACCTTGATGGAGTAAAGAGGTTGTTTCAGATAGACCATCGGCTCAAGATAACGAAAAAGAGGAAAAGAGATAAAATATCAGTACCATCAACAGAAACCATAGATAATAATAACAACATCACAAGAACCAGAAAATGGATGAAACGCAATAACAATAACCAGTAAAGAAGGCCCGATGCTATGAAAAATGGAAGAATAGTGTGAACACAACATTAACCGCTGGCAGTCTAAGACAAACCCTATCAAACTAGCCTCACACCCGGTACGAAGTAGAAAAATGCTCAGCTACCTCCTAACCTACAACCCTAATGCTCGACTTCCACATCTTCCTATCAAGGGCCATGTCCTCGGAAATCTGAAGTCACGCCATGTCCTGCCTAATCACTTCTCCTCAATACTTCTTAGGGAGCCCTCTATCTTTTCTCGTACCCGCCAAAGCCAACCGCTCACAGCTTCTTACTGGGGCATCAGGGCTTCTCCTCCACACATGTCCGAACCATATAAGCCTCGCTTCCCGCATCTTGTCTTCTATAGGAGTCACGCCCACCTTATCCCGAATATCTTCATTCCAAATCTTATCCATCCTAGTGTGCCCGCATATCCACCTCAACATCCTCATTTTTGCTACTTTTATCTTTTGTATATGTGAGTTCTTAACCGGCCAACACTCTACCCCATACAACATGGCCGGTCTAACCACCACTCTATAAAACTTACCTTTGCTAACCTCAATTTCATCCATCCCACCCCAATACGATGTGTGACGTCCTCGTCGATCTCCCCGTCCTCCTGGATAACCGACCCAAGGTACTTGAAACTGCCTCTCTTGGGGATGACCTGTGATCCAAGCCTCACGTCCATGCTCGCTTCCCTCGACTCGGCGCTGAACTTGCACTCCGGGTATTTTGTCTTTGTCCTGCTCAACTTGAAACCCTTAGACTCAAGGGCCTGTCTCCAAACTCCCAACCTCTCATTAACACCGCCTCGCGTCTCATCAATCAGAACTATGTCATCAGCGAATAACATACACCACGGTACCTCCCCTTGGATATGTCATGTCAGTGCGTCCATCACCAGGGGTCCATTGCATTCTCATTGTTTAAAATTAGCAATGACAGTGGAGGTAGCAAAACGAGTTGGAGATAGGAGAGGATCTTCTCTTTTAGAGAATAGAATGAATGAATAAGGGGATTGTTCCATAATAGTGAGAACGATGTAGAAAGCATCAAAATATCTTTTTATTTCACTTATTATTTGTACAAAGAGAAAAACTATGTTTTTCTTTTTTGGATAGCTGGTCAAACTTGGTTGAATACAATGTATGACTCGACCAGAGTCACGCGCACACTTGTACATATATCTTGACGCTGACTTGGTGCTTATTACTGAAACTTTATGACTTATCAAACCAAAAATACTCCTAAAGCATGCCTATTCTGGAAATCCACATGCAATAGCAAACATAGTTCGAACCTAAGGTTCGCTAAGTTTATTTAATCATGCATGACAGCATGAGACATCCACACATGTTAAACTCTTAAGCCTGCTTATCAAAAATGTAACCTCTCAACCCCAGCAAAAGCAAGAAAATGTTTCAAATAAGATACATGAGGAGAAAACATAAGAGGTCTAATATCATATGTGCAAAGAATCAGATCACACAGTCATTCTCTCTTAGGCCAAAATTTCAGCCTATCTAAATTTTATGAGCAGTTGGAATAAATCACAGAAGATGTTTCAGTCAATTTTGGAATGTAATGTAAATTTCCCTACCATGGCTTTTTATGCTACTTTATGTGGTTCTTAGTTAGTTATAATCATTTTAACTGAAGCTTATGCTGCTACTTTAGACGGTCCTACATTTTTTCTGAGAAGGTACTTTAGACAGTTATACCTTCGGGTGTTATTCCTAGAAATTCTGGACCAATTTCTTCTTTTCTTCTAGTCTCACTATAAGTCTAGCATTTCCTTTTCTCCTAGTTTTTAATACCACAATGTATTATTCAATATCCAACCATCATAATAAGGTGATCAAATAGGTAGAGTTAACCTCTCATTTCCTGCAGAACAGCTAGTCCCCTAGATACATTAACCGTTATAGTGCCATGATAACTAGGTAGAGTGAACACGATATCCCAGTTAAGTCAATGAGATAGGCACTAATAGACACACATGTATGAGTTCCAATTCATTGACACCCAAAACAAGCACAATAACACATAGCTTAGACTTTTAAGGAGAATTTCAAATACTACTAAGAAGCGATAGTACCTAATATCAGGCTTCGCAATCGCAGAAGCTCCCAAAGCAGCATTCAACCTTCTCTGCTCATAGAGGAAAGTCTTTGTAATCAAATTACAAAACAAGTACACAAATTGCACCGAATCATTTGCGGGCACAGGATAGGTAATTTTCTTGTAAATATCCCAAGGCATACTCGAATCAACAAGACCCACAATCGGAATTTGCAACTTAGAAGCTTCCTGAATCACAGAAGACTTCCTCTCCGTATCGAAAATCACCACGCAATCAGGGGGCTGCACAGCCGCAAGGTTCAACTTCTTATTCCGACCTCGAAACTTTCTCGGACTCGAACTGTTTGTTAAAAAGCCTCCAAGACGCCAGGAGGTATCATTCCTGCATCCAATGGTTTTGGTCATCTGATCGATTATTTCGTCGAAAAGGGTATTGGTGTTGACGAAAATGAAGCGGGCTCTGTTGCGAACGAGCTCGCCAATGAAGGAACAGGCGTTGCGGAGGCAGATGAGTGTCTTGTCGGAGTCTATGATTGTCATTGCGTTTCGGCTGCCGCATGAGTAGATTTTAAAGTGGTGTGCTGCAACGCGACGACCCAAATGGGCGTTAGTGCTGAGAAGCTTTTGGATTACTACTGAATGGATTGTCATTTTGGGGAAATATTTGGAAATGGTTGATGAAAAGGGTTGTAAATTAGTAAAGAAAAATTGTTCTTCTTTCTTGTAGATGCATTAAGTTGAGCAACAAGACTTTAGATCTATGAGTTTCTGTTTTCCAATGGCAAATTGCAGGTTGGGGGAGATTCAGGGTTTAAGGGTTTGAGCACAACACTAGCTGAGGCCAGAGTGCAGCAACTAGCGCCTCCGGCCGCTAAAGTCGTCCAATTGTATTTGACAAGGGTGTCCAATAAACCGGCTCGATTCGGTCCTTTTGTTAAGGGGACCGGTTTTGGGCTGAGGATTTTTTTTTTTTTTCGTAATTCTTTTTACATGAAATTTTTTAAATAAATTTAATTTAGGTATATTGTCAGATTAAAAGTTAAAATATTACATATCAATTTTAAAAAAATATAATTTGACAATACTCCAAAAAAATAGTGCAAATTCAAACTCCAATTATTTTACTGATCATTTAAACCTAGTTTAAGTCTTCAACTTCAAATATGGTACTTTTCATCTCACGAATTGAGCCATTTGAAATTATTCTTTTGTTCCCTCAATCTGCATTGACCCAATTTATGAAGTAAACAAGTACATGCAAAGTTCGTCGAGGTAGTCAACTTCCTTCTCTCCAAGTTCCATTCTTCCTTTAACTAAATGCACTTTCTAATGCTAATAGTTGGTATTTCACTTGCAATTTTCTATCCACCAATTTAGAATATTAAAATCATCTTGATTATCGTAAATAAAAATTAAGTTTGTTAAGTTCGGAATAAAATTTGTATTTGTGGTTAATATCTTATTGAAAATATCAAAAGTACCGAAAATATTTGAAAGATGGAGTAGCGATAATAGTACAAAAAATCTTTAAGTGCGTGTGATAATGATGATAATTATTGTTGCGCTCCATAATTTTTTCGAAATGTTCTTGTGGCATAATTTAATTAATTGTGAGTTGTTGGGTGGTAACGATGCATGTTTGAAGTGGTAGGAATAGTGTTAATTGGGCAGTATGGATGCTTGCATGATTATAACAATTGCTTTATACATTATGAGATCACCTTTAAAAATAATTACAGGTAAATGTCCAAAATACATTGACTCAATGACCTGAAAAATAAGACAGCCAATCTGCTGCAACATATTAATTAACACTAATAGTGTAAAAATATTACACTTTGAGACAATCTGCAGTAATGTTTTGTTTCTACAGTAGAACCGAAAGTCCAACATTTATTCAGAAACGAAGGGCCAAACCAGAATTAAGGTACACAATCATTCTTCTTCTACTGCTAATACAAAGAACAAAAATCACCCTCACCAATACTGATACATCAATTTCAAAGCAAACCAAGTTGAATACAAACACTACAAACCACTGTCTGGCTGTGCAAGTACCTACTCATTGGCCCCCAGCAGGGTCATTAGGAACTCCCTGTAGTAACCTGATGTGTCATCAGCTACTGCATATTCAACAGTAGTATTCTTCTTTTTGAAATATTCTTCCTTAACTTTGATCATATCAATTTCAGCTCTAGTTATAATTGCTCTAGTTAGAGAATCCTCATCAGTTCCTAGCCCATCAGTGGATTTTTTTACGACCTGAGATGCCCAGATACGGAGGAGAAAATGAGAGAGGATTATTTAGTCGCTGTCATTAGGCGATGAACAATACCAGATATATCCCAGTGGACATAAAATTATTATGAAACAGTCAAATCAAGATAAATTTGTTCGGGTCAGGAGGGAGGAGCAGCTCTGCTAAAAAGGGGTAATAAAGATTAACAAAAAGAAAGGCAGTCTAACAAGGCCATCTTTTTATGACTATTTTTGTTACCTCAGCGAAATGCTTCTCTGGGGAGTCTATGCACCAAATAACCACTTTCAAGATAGACTCCAAAGGACCTTCGCCAGAATTCGATATATCCTGTGATGGTAAGTCGGTCCAAGAAGATAGGATTAATTAAAGAGCAAGAAGTAGTGAAACGAAGTTAATCTGGTGGCTTAAAGATGACTGACCTGATATATGGAGAATCCGTAGTTTTGCTCATAGCACCGAAAAGTTGCCTTAAGCTGATGAATGTTCCTGGTGCTGAGTATCAGGATGAGTTCATCACTATCTAATTGTTTTGTTCTAGTGGCTTCACGAAGCTTAGAAGCCTCTAGATTAGCAGTACTATGGTCGACCAATTCTTTGTCATATCTGTAGGAACTGACCAGACTGACTAGAACCTGCCCAACATCGATGCAATGCAACACTTCATACTGGTGCTTGTTAAACTTCATTTAAGAATATTTTAACAGTACAAGCTGATGATGAAGAGATGGACTAAACCAGATAACCTCAAAGTAATTGAGCCTGTACTTTGGTGAGGAAAATATCTTAAAATCATTTTTCAAAATAATGTTTTTGATCTTTGGTTGGAGAATGGAAAATATTTTCTTAAAAAATTTTTGGTTAAAGATTTATAATAATAGTAGCAATTTGGATAGTAGGAATTTCAATGCTAATGACTTTTCCAGAGATTAAACAATAGTGTTAGAACATTATTCATCTTCAATTAACAGTATGTGATGAATTAACCTTTTGGACAGGAAGAGAGACATGTGCTATGATATCCTCTTCAAGTGAACAGCCAAAGAGAGCACAATACACTTGTCTTACAGCAACTAGATGATCAGGAGTTGATGCACAGGCTATCTCTACTATCATTTGTAGACGGGCTATTTCGTCACGTATCCATGAATTTATTAAGACCTCATTTGCTAGCCTCGCGTCTCTTTCAGGAGGATCATATGCCCAGAGGATCACAGCTTTCTGTCATGCATCAAACATGAAATCCAGAGAAGTCAAAACTTTGAGATTAAGTAGTAACTATAACTGATACTATTCATATTCAGACACTAGAGTTGCTCATCTGCAGTAAAGAACAGTTAACAAGCTTATCCATATGTAATCCTTATTAACAAGTCTTTCTTTATTTCTGTTTTTTATTTTTAAAGTTTATGATGAAAAATTAAAGAACTTTTACATCCCAAAATTGGAACCTATAGTTTTTGAAGGTTCTTCCATGCATATAGCAGTTTAGTTCTTTGAATATTTGTAGAATCAAAACTCAAAACTGCAAACTTGTTGTAGCAAGTTAATCATATGCTTCAATTAAGAAGTGATTTTAGCTTTCTAGGAAATTATATGTGAGATAAAACTAATTCAACTGTACAAGTGACAAATCTTCCCTTCAGATTCTAATTATCCCTGAAAAGTAAAGAGACCAAAATCTTCAAATGTACCTTAAGGAATTACTAGGCTCGTAAGATGATCCCTTTAAATTGGGATTTTATTTAGTACTATAAGTAAACATATGTGTTGAAGGAAAAAAGAATAATTATAATACCCCGAAATCACCAGATAATTCAGAATGAAGATCATCAATGAGGGATTTGTCATAAAGCTGCTGATATGCTTCTTTGATCTTCTTCCTCTGGCTTGCATTTCTATGTCCCAACACACTTATTATAGCCTTCTCATCAGTTCCCAGTCCTAAAAAGGAGAAAAAACGAGTTTAATTTCTACTACTAACATTTTTTTAAACCGTCATGTCACCTAATAGATCATTTCAAGTAAATGCAATATGCAACCTGTTACAACAAATTTATGGACATATTAATTTACACAACAACAACAAATACGTAGGGTAATGTGTACGTATGAATGTCTTACCCCTACTTTGGCGAAGGTATAGCAACAGAAGATATGAAATTCATCACTATGACTTCTCATCATTCCCATCGAAGAAAATAAACGGAGGAAACGAAAAAGGTATTGACAAAATACCAAAAAGAAAAAAACACACAAGTGAAAAAGAAAGAAAGAAAGAAAGAAAGAAAGGGGTATACCGAAAAAAGATCCTTTGAAAGATTTCCTGAGTGTTTCAGCGTCTTGAGTTGGAGAGGGAACAACATCTGGTATTAGGAGACTGCCCATTTCTTCTTTAGAAGAAATCACAAATGAAGAGAAACGAACAAGTTATAAGAGAGAAGGGATGTGAATAAATAAGAATTTCGGTTTTGCTGGTTTAACTTCAGTTTCAGTTTCAGTTTCAGTTGTTTGACCAATTTGGCGTAACCGGGAGTTCGCACACTACTGTTTGCCCTTTATATTTCATTTGGACATTAATGCCCTTATGCACTACAATTAAGAACTTCTATCACGAAACGCTTTTAGCTTAATATTACTACTCCATTACACTACTTTGCGGAGTAATTAGATATCGGCATGCATTATTCTTTTGCTAGAATTTAATTTATATATATTATATATTATTATAAAAGTGGGAAGCCCTAAACTTAAAAGTTAAATTACCTAAATACCCTTATTATAAAAAAGATATTAAAAAAGAATACCAAATTTATTTGAAGGGATGTGACCCTTCAAATTAATTAGTTACTATGTTAAAAATATTCTAACAACTATTGTTGCCTTGCCAAATTATAAGAATAGAAAAATTATTTTCCGGCATTTCAAAGTGAGAAGTGAGAACCAAGCCTTAATAATTGTTGCTTGCCTTTTACTTTGGTTTTCATTTTGAATGAGATTTTTGAAGCCATTAGGGCCTTTATTAACGAGTGATCACTGGAAGGAGATAAAGAAAAGGGAATTTCTTGGAACGGCTAACCGTTTGGTATACTACCAAGTCAATATTTTTCATATCCCCTGCAAGAAAAATGTGTTCAAAAACAAAAAAAGAAACAGGTATGATCACATTTATCTCATTATATCTTTCCCGTTCATTCTTATATGCTATTTGTGAGGCACGTTCTAATGTTTAAGAATTCACATACTTTATTCATATGATTCTCGACAGATATAAATAAAAGTACGACAGTTAAATGTATTTTGATCAGTAGATACATTATATTCCCGCCGTACCATATTACTTGTCCACATAACTGAAAGAATTTGTCCCAAACTACTTGTCAATTTACAAAACCGAGATAGAAATAATTAAATTTTGCCATTTTACCCTTAAAATTAAATCTTTTTGAAAGTGTAAACAATACATTGACCACCTCTAAATATTGTAAAGTTCCTCCATTGTTAATCTTTGACATGTACACATTTAGTCGAAAGAGTGCATTAGTAAGAAATATTGTAAAGTTCCAAAAAAGATTCCTCCCGCCCATTTGCGTCCTTTATACTCCTATAAGAACAGTTCTTAAGCGAAGTACACATGCATGAATATATTTATGAAATAGATGGAGCAATAATTAACACTGATCATTCGAAATTTGATAATGTTTTCAAGTCAGTTTGAAAATTTTGGAGGAAAGGATTATTAGTGCAATGAAAAGTTCAGTTTTTTTTTTTTTTTTGTGTGTGTTTGTTCATATGCTCTATGCTACTACATTAATGAGAACTTTTGGATAAATGTTTTGGGAACACTTTATTAACTTGAGTTGATTAGTTTGAGGCTACATAGATAGAGTGTATTAAAAAGAGTTCAAAGGGTAAATTTGTAAAAATTCCCTTTTTATTTGTAATTTCTTACGGGGCGAGTAAAAGCGAAAATGGATAAGTAATATGGGACGGAGAGAATACTTAATTTGCTCTCTTGAAGAGCTTCAAAGTCTAGAAAATATAACTGATAGTACATGGCTCCTCAGAATTTCGGCTGCATGGTAAACATAGCTACGACGGAGAGCAAACTACCAAACCTGATATACTCCTTTGAAGAAATGCATTAATTAACAAAACAATACACTACCCATGCCGAAGCCAACTAACATCTTTGCCTTTCATATTTGCACACATTCAGTAGTTAAATCCTTAGAGAAAAACTTTTAGGATATACTTCAACGTATTCCTCCTTTTCTTTGATAAGTATAAAGTATCGATTCCCTCTCGAGAGTTTCACCGATACAAGGATAATCTGCAGAGGATTTGGCAACAATGTCATACATATAAAAATTACAACAAGTCAATCCGCTAAAAAACATGTGTTTATTCCAAGGATTGAACTTTCTCCCCTGATAATGAAGAATATCCTGTCAAATTTCTTTGAAATTTTTTTTCTGTATGCTTCTGTTTTATAACAACGACAAACAAATGGGAGAATTCCTAACGTTAGATTGTATCTGCCATAACATGCATGTTTGCTCACACGGCCAATTTTATGTTGTATTTTTAAGAGAGATAATAATATAAACAATAAAAGTCATGGTCATGACAAAACAACAAAGAACATACACAAGGAATATTGTTTATAAGGAAATATTAGGTGAGATGTGTTTCATTACATATTTGTACCTCATAAAATTAAAATAAGAAAAAATCACATATGTATCTAATTAAACTTTAATTGTTCATCTTTATAGGTTCATACGATATCATTAATTTGACCTCTACCAAGTAGCCCTATATATGATCGCCATTGATCATTCACAAAAACTTATACTTTATCATTTCATGATAATTATTTATTCAAAATTTTGTTTAAGTAGATGTTATTTTACAAAACTATATACTATATAGCTTGATACACACGTGCAATGCACGTGCCGAGAAACTAGTATATATTAATAGTATAAAGATTTTAACACTATTAAAGTATTTTAATCCAGTTTTTAATTGTATTTTTAAGATTATTGTGTTACATTTGTTGTAGTCACATTGTTTTGTTTCACTAAGAGTACAAAATGTTCTGCCTATTATTTCATCTAATAGTCTGCAATATAGATTTTTCTGCAGGTAAGAAAACTTACCTTAAGCATGCAATAGAGAACTTTGCCTCAGTTGTAAAGGAACATGTAGCTTATGATGAATATGTTTTTGATTGGAACAACAACATTACAACTATGTCGGTAAATGACATAAAATCTTGATGAGAATTAATATTTTTATTGTATGCATTTCATCTGAGACTTAAAATTATTCTATAGATTCTACTTACAAGGATTGGATGTTTCCGAGATCTTGGTTATCCGTGTGAGTCGTCGTTTATATCATCAACCAACATGACTGACTTGCCCATATTCTCATACACTTCTGATCCAAAGTACATCATGACAGAAGGTGATATCTTAATCTGTGAATTATACATATGTTTAACTGTCCTTTATTTTCTGATCATAACTTGAGACAAAAATATCTACATTTTCTGGTGGACTAATCCGTTTAAAACCAAGTACTTCTGTAGCAATATACATATGTTTCCAATATCTCCCTCTGCTTTACTCTTTTTTCCCTTTAAAATGATCCGCGCATCGCGCGGGTAAGTATACTAGTTACTTCATTATATAGGAATACTCTCTAATATACGACAATTTATCGCACATGTATATTTGGAATAAATATATTTTGTTTTATTTTACCGCTCTTCACAAAATTTTAGGTGGTTTAGGGGTTTTTATTATGTGTCTATAAGAAATCTCCTACCCAGTCATAAAAGTCGGAAAATGTAGTGATGAAATTAATAAAGGGGCAAAAGGTGAAGGGCAATAGATGCCTGCCCATTAAAAATTTGGAAATCTACACAAAATGTCCATTTTGGCCAAACTAATTACCCACTCAAAACTTTTTACATAATACATTCATGTCGTTCAAAATAGTTATCGGGCTTTCTACTGACATTCCCTTTTTCCCATTAATTACTCTTTGTCTCTTTGTATTTTCTCTCTCCAGTTTTTTTTCCTATTTATCCTAACTTTTCCCTGCCATTCACTTTCTCCCATTGATACTTTCTCCCATTAATTACTTTATGTCTTTTTGTGTTTTTTTCTTCTATTTTTCATACATTGCATGTTATTCATCTCTTCAACGTATATGCTTTTGTCTGAAGGTATCTAGACCTTTTTTATATCTTTTTTCCTGCATTCATAGATCAAGATACCTCGATCCAAAACGTCTCATTAATGAACTCCATGGATAAGTTAACTCTTCAATCACATACGGATGTGGTCCCAAGATTTAAATTTAATGGGTTCAGCTTTTAAGGTTTTAGCATTGAATTTATTATACTGTTAAAAGAAATTCAAATCTAATACTTGTTGAGATTTTAATAGGTTTTACATATAAATCTATACTCTGTAGCGGACGTTATGGGTTCAGTTGAACTCGTATCCGAAATGCTACATCCGCTCCTACCCAACATACTGCGATTAACTAACTCCGAGGATTATTTTTACTAGGACTTCTTAATTATATGATACACAATCTAATGACAAAGAAAAATAAAATAAAAGTTTTTTTTTAAAAAAAATAGAGCTAACAAGATGATATATTGTAATAATATGCAATATTTCAGCTGAAACTTGAATAAAAACATATTTACCCAACAGTATACCACTACGATATCACATTATACTGAAGAGTATACAGTTATACTACAACAGTATACTATAATAGTATACATATATATCGAAACAATATACTATAATAATATGCAACTTTTCAGCAAAACTTTAAATTAAAACACAGTTGCCCAACAATATACCACTATTGTATCATAATATACTGTAATAGTATATTATAATAGAGTATACTGTACATATATACGGAAACGTTATATGGGTAGGGTCGCGTAATTATTTTGTATGAATAGAATCAGGATAATTATTTTGGTCTTTATGGGTAACCCTGTATATATCCTAATTTACTTTCCAAGAGAGTTCGTATGTTTTATTCATAAAGTTTTGTGAATCTGCTCAAGAATTGTGATTTATAATTTTAAAATTCAGATTTCTAATAAAATTAAAATTAGACCATGCGTTCGAGATTATTTTCTTATTTCTCACCTAACGTCAGGTACTTGCATGCAAACTATACAAATATTCGCGCAACTAGCTCGAAGTTCAAATTCTTTTATTCCATTTATTCCTGTTTACTTTCTTCTATACACAGTATTTTCATAAATATTGTTTTCTTGTGGAGTCCAATATATTAATGTAGGAACAAATCTGTAATGTATTTTAGTATTTCCTATGATCACACCAGGCATAACTGATAATCTGAGGTAGGCTAGGCTTTTTTTTTTTTTTTTT